ATGTTTTAAAGGATGCATTTGGTTCTGGCAGGCAAAGTTTATCAAGAAGTGGAAATGTGGAGATATTTTCATTTTAATATTTAATCCTGCAAAATCGTGCCTTTAACTTGCGTTTTAAATCAAAGTGAGTTTAATTGTATTTTAACTTTTGCCACCTCGAGTCCTGAAGTGTGCTTCCACATTGCCATTTAATGCAGTGCAGAGTCGCATTAGCCAGCATGTGTCCACAAAATACACACAGGGTGATGCTAGTTAAAGAGGGTAAGCTGCTTTATGTGGCTGTGCTCTGGGTTTAAAAAAAAAAACACTGGGGAAGGTTCAAATCCTGCTGCAGGATTTGGACCATCCCATGTGTTGGACCAGTGGGGTTACCAATCTCGGATTCCTATGCAGAATCCAGGATCATTGTCCCCATATAGCCATCATATGCTGCCCAGGCTCAGGAAGCCTGGGGAGGCAGGATGGCTTTTTCCCTGTCCCTTAGCATCCAAACTTACTCCCAAGACAGAAGAAAAGCAATGTACCTGCTATCTTGAATGTTTACTTCCTGGTTGTTGCTATGTGACTGAGTAAAGCAGCTTGGGGTTGGAGGCTTGTTCCTTCCAAACTCCTTTACTTAGTCACACGGCAGCAACCAGGAAGTAAACAGCCAGGAAAACAGGTAGGTTGCTTTTTTCCGCCTTGGGGGGGGGGGCGGGGATTGGGGTGCTGACAGGGTGGAAACCAGTCCCATTCCCTGCTGTGCAAAATCGGTTTCTGCATGGCTGAGCTGTGGGGCTATTGTTCCTCCCTGGAGGTGGTTGAAAGTGCCCCCCTGTGTGACCATAATGTGACCGTGAACCAGTTAGTTTCATATCAGTTGTGGACTGCATATTGTGTCTGTGTTGAACAAGGCCGGATAAAAATTAAATTAATATAAATGAATAGTTGCTATTTTTGGTCAAATCAGCTATAGCAACCTTAGGAATGAGGGACCTTCAATATGACTTGTTAGTAACAGCCATGCTCAGCTCTTGCAAACTCAGGGCCATGGCTTTTTTTATTGAATAAATCTATCTATAACTAGCTGTACCCGCCATGCGTTGCTGTGGCCAATCCCTCCCTCTTTCTCTCCTTTCTTTCTCTCCTTCCTTCCCTCCCTCTTTCCTTCCTTCCCTCTTTCCCTTCTTCTTTCTTCCTTCACTAACTGTTTTTCCTTCTTCCTTCCTTCTTTTCTTTCCTCCTTCCTTCCTTCCTCTTTCCCTTCCTTCTTCCTTCTTTTCTTCTTCCTACCTTCCTTCCTTTCCTTCTTTCTCTCCTTCCCTCCTTCTTTCCCTCTTTATTTCCCTCTTTCTCTCCTTCCTTCTTTCTCTACCTTTCTTTCTTTCCCTCCTTCCTTCCCCCTTTCTGTGTATGTGTTTTGTGTGTGTATATGCACATTTGTGTGTTTGTGTATCTATATGTGGTTTTGAGCATGTGTTTTAATGTGTTTTTTTTTTGCTTTTTAAGTCCCTTCTGCTGTGTTTTTCAGTGTTTTTATGAGTGACGGTCACTCATTGGCCTGATAGGTGTATTGTGTCCAAATTTGGTGTCAATTCGTCCAGTGGTTTTTGAGTTATGTTAATCCTACAAACGAACATTACGATTTTATTTATATAGATGCAGTCCTTCTCTTTTCACATTAACAAGAACTATAGTTCCCCCCCCCCCTAAATTGGCTGTGTCATCCCATGACGTTGCCAAAGTATGACAACCTCAATTTAGACTTTTGTCTTCTAATGGGAGTTAAGGCTTGAATTGCTCTCAATTTGACTTTTTTAAAGCAGTTCAAGGATATCCATGGGACTTTCTGCCAGCACCATATTTCAAATGTTCCCACAGTCAGCATTTTTCCCTGTCTAGATTTTATGATTACATAGAAACTGGAAATAATCTGTGCGTAAGTGTATGTGTGTGAGCCCACATTTATAAAACTTGAAGTGGACTTACAAACACCACCAATTTGGAATTTGGGGGGACAAAGTGGGCATTTTGGGCCCAGAAACATCCCAGAGGCAAAAAGTGACCCTTGGTCCTACTACCGTTGCTCTCCTTTGTTTTGGAGAAGTAAATTCTAGTGAATTCAGAGAGGCTAGTTTCCAGGTAAGCAAATGTAGGTTTTCTGCCTATGCCACCAACAAGCCCTCTGCCTGTGTTGCCATCTGCTACTTTGTTCTCAGTGCCCTTTACAAAAGGAGACTCAGCAGGAAGGATTGGCTTATGTTGTTTAACACAGAAAACACTTTTGTTCTTCAGCACAGCACTTCCCCTTGAGATGGATACTGACTATGACAAGGGGAGGAAAAAGAAAGAAAAAGGGGAGAAAGAAAGAAAAGAGTCTAACTCTTAGTAAAAGAAGGTGGCCATAAGATGTATCTTCAAACTATGTAATTTCATATACACAGAAAGACACACAATATTTTGCTTGCAAGATTGGTTCCCCTCCACATGAGACTTCAAAAGCCAAGATAAAAAAGTCAAAGCAAAAAAAAGAAAAGCTTGAGAAGTGGGAAAGAATGAATCTAGACAGTGGAATTAATGGGGTTTTTTTTATGCCAATTCCACTCCTATGGCTCCATGTTGTGGAATCATGGGAGTTGTAGTTTGGTGAGGCACCAGCACTCTTTGGCAGAGAATAGGCATGGATCGAGCCACGTCGGATTATTCGTTGCTCGTAATAATTTTGTTAAAATTATCTTTTTGAAGCGATTTCAAAGCATTTTTAAAAACTGGAAGTCCCTTTGCCCTTTCGAAGCTTTTCCCGCCATTTTGTTATGACTCAGGAAGTGAGTCGGAAATTATTCCGTGTATTTTCAGCCCTTTACTAACCTGCTGGGAGGCAAGTAGCTTGCATGCTGGGAGGCTCCTTGCCTCCCAGCCAATCAGGGGAGAAGTTTTGGGGGAGCACATGGCTCAGAGGCTCATTCAGAGCCGGGAAGGGAAGGGAGAAGGGAGAAGAGAAAGAGAAAGACAAAGGGAAGGGAGGCTGTGTTGAAGGGAGGTTGTGTTGAAGGGAGGTTGGAAGAAGAGCATGGTGGGCAAGCAAGCAAGCAGAGAAGAAGGGCTGGGAGATGGGCTGTTGCCTGCCTGGCTGCCTGGTTGCCTTGTGTTTTGTTGCTGCTCTTGGGGTTTGGGACGGGTGGGCACCACGAGGGTAATGTATGGGTGAGTGGCTTGGGTGGAAAGAGCAACACGGAGGAACCAAAGCACTCACTCCAACATTTTTAAAAGCCAACGTTGTAGCAGGTCTATCTGGCCTCAGTGTTTTTTAGTTTGTGTTGCACATTGCCTCAAAAGAACTAGATCTCCCATCAATTCAAGCCACTCTTTGAACACAAACTCTCCTTCCTAAAGTTGTGAAATTTGTTTCCAAGGCAAAAAGGGCAGGGCTGTTTGCTATTTTCTTTGTTTGCTGTGAGTTGCCTAAAAAGATACTACATATCCCATACTTTCAAGTCTCTCCTTACCTAACTTGTGAAATCAGCTTACAAGGCCTCAAAAGCTCTCAGGGCCGGCTGTTTGTTATTTCCTTTGTTTGCTGTGTGTTGCCTAAAAAGACACTACAAATCCCATACTTTCAAGTCTTGCTTATTTTGCGCATTGCGCAATTGTGCCCGCCATTAACGAACTGATGTGGAAATTTTGTAAAGTTCCAAAAAAAAATTAAGAAAAATTTGGAATTCAATTCCGAATTGAACCACCATCTGAAAGGAGTTCTGAACCATTTTTTAATCAACCAAGCCTAGCAGAGAAGGTCAAAACCTTTGTAAAATTACAACTTCCATGATTCCATAGCACTGACCCATGGCAGTTGAAGTGGTGTCAAATTGCATTAATTTGACACTGTAGACACACCCTAAAAAGGATTCATTAACCACTGAAGGGGATTATGGTAGTGTATTAGGAAAGTAGTCCTCACTCCACACCTCCAGACAGTCCTGGAAACACCAGCCAAATTTGGTTCCAATTTCGTGAGCTGCTTATTTATATTAGGTAAAGGAAAATCACATGGTTGTAATAAATTGACAGGTGGCTTGACGGAACACATGTACACAAAGGTAATCATTGTAAGACTGCAATAAAAGCTGCATCCATTGGAGGAAGATTATCTCAAAATTCCCATTGGAAATGATTGCATTAAAGGTACCTTGTTCCTTCAAAGGCCCCGAACTAATAAGCAGGTAATAAGGCAGGATCAGATCCCATATTTTTATAAGATCAATGGACCTAATAGTTGTGATGGCAAATACCCCTCAATTTTGTTCTATAGGCTTTTCAGAAAATATAGCTTTAGTTTTACAAAGTGCCGGAGTCTTCATGTAGAAAGGAGAACGGATATGGACTTGACCATATATGGGAAACAAAGACGGGTTTTTGTGCCAAAGAGAAGTTTTTTGTGCAAGGGTGAAGTATCGGTCAAGAGACACGCTGACTTTGCCAAATCAGTGCTGACTTTGCCAGATTAGCAGATGTCCCCAGCTGTATTTTGCATATCAGCATCTTGAGATGTTTCCAAAAAGGGGCTTGCTTATTGGGAAACGAAACTTAAAAAGTGTATGATCTAATTGCTTAACGTATGTATAATATTGACAGCTCTTTTAACCAATGATTTAATCTTTGGGGCGGCTCTTAAGGCCGAACCCCTTTGTATGTATAAAAATAACTCTAACTCTTTGTGCTGGTGTGACTTTCCCCAGAGACGCCTTGTTGCGTCGGAAAGCCAACTAGCAGCTGCTATACAAAATAAACTTTGATATTCTTGCTGAACCCAGTTGGCTGTTTTTCCTGACTCATCTGCGTCCGCAATTGAACTAAAACGGAGCATTTTGGCTGAGCCTTTGAGCAATTGCTCAGGGGAAGGAAAAAGCCTGCTTCAGTAATAGTGTGCAAGCAGATATCAATTCCCACAGTTCTCCCCTCCCGTCATTCTCTGCCTCCTCTTTGAGCACAGACTCCCACTCCTTTCTTCGGCTTGCTCTTACCTGCCTGACGAAACTGTTTGAAGTCGTGTCAGAGGAGGTACTGCCATCGGAGCGTTTGAAGCGGTTTTTCCTTTTGCTATATTTCCCCTAGGAGGTCAAAGAAGATGCAGAAGAAAAACAATCAGAGACACAGCAACTGTCATAGGGACAAACTCAAGCACGTTTCAAGGTAACGAAGCATGGGATGACTCCCTACTAAAGAAACCGACAAAAGGTAGACCCCAACAGCATCTGGAGGGCCACAGGTCCTGAAGCATTTCCAATCTAAGATACCAAATTTGAAGTGTTTTTGTCATGTTCCACCATCAGCAAAATTGAGAGAAAAAGTATTCTAATCTTGCCATGGAAAGTATGAAATGATGAAAAGCAATGACTTTTTAATATGCACTTAATACTAAAAGTGAGTTAGGTGGTGTATGGGACTGACACAGTCCCTGCTTGGGCAGCTTATGTCTAAGTTAAATTGACAGGGTAAAACTATATTGTACAGTTGGCACTCCACATTTACTTTTTTTTACGGATTTAATTATTTGCAGAAAACTCTAGATCTCCAGTGCGACTCTATGGTTAACATCTGGCCAATGTTGACTATAGAGATCTGCTGGAGGACCTAGAAATTCCTAAAGCAAAATGGACCATAATGCCACACTGGAGGGCCTAGAAATTCCCAGAGAGGCATTTCCTCAGGTATAAAAGTGGCCATTTATTTGTGTTTTTTTCCACTTTCACTGAGGTCCTGAGCCTCTAAGCACTGACTGTATGGAGAAACAGATGAATCAATTAAACCATCAATCAGAGCACATGTTAGAAAAGTTACTTTTCAGACTGCAATTTCCAGAACTCCCCAGTGGCATGATTCTCATGTTGGGTGAATTAGAAAAGGGGAACTTCTGGATGCATCCTATAATCATCTGGCAAATCTCCTGCTATTGACATGTTTATTCAGTAATCAAGAATAAAAAACCTCTTATCTATCTATCTCTATCTATCTATCTATCTATCTATCTATCTATCTATCTATCTATCACATTTCTCCGAAGTCTGGGAAGCAAAAACTTCTGACAGATTTAAAAACTACCAGTAAAAAAACACAGTAAATTATATATGGTAAAGACATGAAGTCTAGTAGTGACCAACTCTGGGGGGTGGTGCTCATCTCAATTTCTAATCGGAAGAGCCGGCGTTGTCTGTAGACGCCTCCTGGGTCATGTGGCCGGCATGACTGCATGGAGCACCGTTGCCTTCCCAGTGAAGCGGTACCTATTGATCTGCTCACATTTGCATGTTTTCAAATTGCCAGGTTGGCAGAAGCTGGGGCTAATGATGGGAGCTCACCCCATCCCGTGGATTCGAACCGCTGACCATCCGGTCAGCAAGTTCTGCATCTTAGTGGTTTAACCCACTGCGCCACCACAGCCCCCAAATTATATATGCCCAAACGCAAATTAAATTAAAAGTTAAACCATAAAGAAACTTTCAAAAAATTTAAACTCCGCAAAACTAAATATGAAATGTTAAAAGATACAGCTTATGTGTGATAGCTTGACTGTATACAAAAGGCTTTACGAGAAGGTAGAAGGGAAAAGGAGAGCGCTAGTCTATTATTATTATTATTATTATTATTATTAAAATACTTCCTTTGGAAGGAATTTTCATAACCATAGAGTGGCCACCAGAAAGCCCTCTGTCATGTCTGTACCAGATTCAGCTCTAAAGTTGATAGGACTAATCAATTTTGGGCAAACCTATATCGGAGGATAGGACCTTTCTGATAGCCTGCACCATAACACAGTGCTTTATAAGTCAAACAGCACTTTGAATTGTGTCCAGAAATGGTCTAGTTCCTAGTTAATGTGCTGTAATGGAAGAGCTATGGGCTCCCTCTAACCAGCAATTTGCCACAGTATTTTTTACTAACTGAACAGCCTTCAAAGGCACACAGAGAATATTACAGTAATCCAAACAGGATATGATATTTTTCTGTGATCAAATTATGACAACTTCAGAGCTGATACACTAACTCCAGCTGTGCAAACTGAATTCCTGGCCACTGCAAAAATGTGGGAACATGAATCCAGTAYCTCSAATTTCKCTGCAAATTTCTCTCTTCAGAGGGAATGTAACTTGATCTAAYACAGTCTGAATCCCTATTCACTGACCAGAAGTACTYCTCTCTCTTCCCTGAACTAGGTTTTAATGTGTGTTCCTTCATTYAGTTTATTACTGAAAACATTTCAGTAATAACTTKGTTGAGAAATCAGCTGAGCGTTACRAGYAAAAAAAAGCTGTTSCATGGAGCTGWACCAGGYTTTTTCAGGAARGAAAGCTGTTGCATTATGGCTTATTTCCACAACCACCAACYCTCCCAATTTGTTAGAGAYAGTCCTGATATTATCCTATTTTTGATGCTTTTGAAATGTTSCARTTTTYCCCCTCTTTCTTCTACTTTCYCCYRYCAKCTYRATGTARTTATGACATTGGYACAKMTYGGYRATGATGGAACAACTTTRRTTGGTGTTGTCRAAGGCTTTCATWRCYRGAAYCACTGGRTTGSTGTGAGTTTTYYRGGCTGTATGGCCATGTTSCAGAAGCATTYTSTCCTGACRTTTCACCCACATCTATGGCAGGCATCCTCAGAGGTTGCGAGGTCTTGGAAATTAGRTAAGTGGAGTTTATATATCTGTGGAATGTCCAGGGTGGGGAACTWTTGATGGAATTGGAGAAGAATCGAGTGATGTCCTAACAGGTAACRTGGCCYGGCACAGCCTCAGCAAATGAGTTKGATAAAACACTGCTTACATTMAAAGATAAATAATGACATCACGTCTTCCMCTCWCAATATATGATGTCAKGTTTTTTTTGTTTAATGCTTTTATTTCAGAAACAGGTCGCAGGTTCGAATCCGGGGAGAGTGTGGGTGAGCTCCCTCTATCAGCTCCAGCTCCTCATGCAGGGACATGAGAGAAGCCTCCCACAAGGATAGTAAAACATCAAAACATCTGGATGTCCCCTGGACAACGTCCTTGCAGACGGCCAATTCTCTCACACCAGAAGTGACTTGCAGTTTCTCAAGTCACTCCTGACACGACAAAAAAAAAAAATATTCGGAAACATTAAGGTTCAAGGAATGTCACAATTTGAGATTGCAGCTCTCAAAGCCTGGATCTGCATGGCCAGTGAACGTGATGGCTGGGGGATTCTGGAGGTTGTAATCCAAAAATTGATGTTCCCAAGCTCTGACTGCAGCTTCCCAATGACAGTGGCGAAAGGTGAAATTAACCTTGCATGGTGAGGCTGCAAAACCATTTTACACAAGCAGCAGATATACACTGGTTTCATATGAAGTTCAGATTCCTTGAGGGGCTCATCATTCACAATGTGATGAACCAGATGTCAATAACCAAAACAGAAGTGGATGGTTGTGGAAGGCCATCCAATCACTAATTAATTTGCAAAATATATTCACAATAATAATGGGAAGCTACACACAAGATGAAGTACTTTGGCGACATAATGAGAAGACAGGAAAGCTTAGAGAAGACCATGATGCTGGGGAAAATGGAAAGAAAAGGGAAAGGGGCCAACCAAGGGCAAGATGGATGGATGGATGGTATCCTTGAAGGGACTGGCTTGATCTTGAAGGAGCTGGGGTGGTCATGGCCGACAGGGAGCTCTGGCGTGGGCTGGTCCATGAGATCACAAAAATTCAGAAGCGACTGAATGAATAAACAACAGCAACACCTCATAGGAGGCCTAGGGTGAAAACATTACACATTTGCTCCAAGGCTTCATTGGAGGAAAGACAACAGGAAAAAAAATCCTACAGGCAGGGCTGTCTTACAAGATAACCAGAAATAAATAGCACCCCCTAAATCTGCATTTACATTTGCTAATCCTGGTTAGAATTACCATTTTGTTTACTACTCTAAAGCTAACCCCATTAACATGCAGGACTTATTTTGACAGCCTTCCCTAAATTTCTTAGGAGGAGAGCAATGGCCAATCTTGATAAAATAGTGAAGAGTAGAGACATCACACTGGCAATGAAGATCCGCATAGTTAAAGCAATGGTATTCTCTGTAGTAACCTATGGATGTGAGAGCTGGACCATAAGAAAGGGTGAATGAAGGAAGATAGATGCTTTTGAACTGCGGTGTTGGAGGAAAATTCTGAGAGTGCCTTGGACTGCAGGAAGATCCAACCAGTCCATACTTCAGGAAATAAAGCCCAACTGCTTATTGGAGGGAAGGATAGTAGAGGCAAAGATGAAGTACTTTGGCCATATAATGAGAAGACAAGAAAACTTGGAGAAGATAATGATGCTGGGGAAAATTGAAGGAAAAAGGAAGAGGGGCCGACCAAGGACAAGATGGATGGATGGTATCCTCGAAGGGAGCTCTTGCGTAGGCTGGTCCATGAGGTCACAAAGAGTCAGAAGTGACTGAACGCATAAACAACAACCCTAACCACATGCCCTCCAGATGTGTTGGACAATAACTCCCATCATCATACCCAGCATGGCAGCCAGAAAATGGAACCTGCATATTGATGTACCAAGTTCCCATTGTTTCAATCTGTCTAGACCAGCGGTTCTCAACCTGGGGGTCGCGACCCCCAGGGGGGTCGCCTGGCTATTTTGGAGGGGTCGCAAGGCCGCCTCCGTTGGCCCCGCCCCAAGGGCCAGGTGAGGACTCCTTCATGCTATTTATTAGAAAAAGACAGTCTTTGTTTTTGTTTTTGTAAATACTCCCATTCTCTGGATATAGATGAACTACATCTCCCAAACTCAAGGTCAGTGCCCACCAAACCCTTCCAGTATTTTCTGTTGGTCATATGAGTTCTCTGTGACAAGTTTGGTTCAATTCCATCGTTGGTGGAGTTCAGAATGCTCTTCAATTATAGGTAAACTATAAATCCTAGCAACTACAACTCCTAAATGACAAAATCAATCCCCCGCAACCCCACCAGAATTCAAATTCGGACGTATTAGGTATTAGTGCCAAATTTGGTCCCGTGAATGGAAATACATCCTGCATATCAGATATTTATTCATAATAGTAGCAAAATCACAGTTATGAAGTAGCAAC